GGAAGCTTTGTAAAAACCTCAAAATAAATCATCTAAGAAATCAACGAAACATGGATCAAAGTCGTCAATTGGATATGAAGATTTTACAATTTCTTCAGAATGTCTCATCGCTACAAATGTCGACTAGGATCGGTACACGATGGCCAATAAAATAAACATTCGGACCACCAAAACTACAGATACCCATTGGTTTTTATAGGAAGTGCTAATTAAATTTCTAAAAATGCATTTTATATAATTTACCTTATTTGAACGTAATTGTGAGAATTTGATTTAAGATTTTCTCCATAATTTTAATTATTTACGAAGAAAAAAATGACAAATAATCTTAGTTCTTAACAAGTAAAATCGGCGGCCCATTCTTGTGACCATACTCAAAATCCCTAAAAGTTGGAAGTTCCCTTATATGGAGGTTGCTAAAACTATATTGACTAGCCGAAATGCCGAAAATCTAGAGGTACCGTAATAAGGCTATCTATACCTAAAAAATTACCAATATATTTCATTTTCAATGTTACTAGGGACATGGATAACTCGATGTCGAAAACTTCAAAAACCCGCCGATTTTTATAGATTAAATTTCTAAAAATGCATTTTATATAATTTTTGGGATCATAGAATATCTGCTAGTTCATTTAAATTTAATTTAACAAAAATTCTATTTTTTTATACGACTCTAATAATCAAAGAAATTTTCCCTTCGAAAGGAAACCCGAAAATAAAAATCAAGTTGCATTTCGAAATTTTTCAGTCAAAATAGACTCAAATTTCTATGGCTTAATAATAACAAACATATGAAATAGTAAATAATGTATAAATAAATATTTAAAAGCCCCGTCGATACCACATATTCAAAAAGCCCTGTCGGTGTCCAAATTCATAATTCTCTTTTATTCGGTTTTTCATTTGCAAAATGTTGAAACTTTTTAATTTTTTTTTTAATTTTAATATTTAATTTCCCAGTGAAAATTTTTGTACAAAAATATATTTTAAAATCAAACAAAATAGATGATTATATCCATTTATTTCCACGTTAGAAGACGAATATGGGCAAATTATTAAAAAAAAAACAAACATTGATTAATAGGTCTTTTTAAAAAACCAAGACAAATTTGACTTTTGCACCAGAACACATCGCTGATCAGCTATGATATAGATTAGCACTGCACACGTGTGTTCACACATGAATCCAAAATTGTTAATAAAGCGAATTTTCAAAAATGAAATTTTAAATTTTATTTAACACTGGTTTTTTGAATATTTTAAAAAACAAAGAGAAATTGGACTTGTGAGCGAGGTCGTTTTTTTTTTTTTGAGCAGTGCTGTTATGGATAAAGCATGGTTTTCAATTGTAACCCTCCACATTTTCCTTGAATGTAAATGTCCCCAAATATGTTTAGCTGGTTAATCATTTTTTAAGTTTCGCTTTAAAAAAATTAGTATGAATACATATTACAGTGGAGTTTTTATTTTTTCATCCCGTAGGTTATATTTTAGTAATAATACTAAAAATATTCTGCGCGCCAAAAGGGAAGCCAAATACCTGGTGAACACATAATTTTTTTAAAGTCAAATATTCGTTAAAATTTCTCTAAAAATATTAAATCTACGCCTCGAATTACTTTTTCAAAAATCATTCCCCAGTTTTTATTTTCAAAACCCACCCAAAGCCGTGACAAATTAGTTTCAATAACATTTACGGAGACAATCTCCCCATAAGAAAAAAATATATAGAACAAATGACTCTGACAATTTGTAGGCGGCCTTGAATTAAGTTTTAATAGTAGACATTGTCGACTGACTATACGGTGTCCTATTTCTAAAGTAAAGAATGACATTTACTTTTTTTTTGTTTTTCGTTTGTGTGTGAGCTTTTATTTTCAGAAAATATTTGTCCAAAGTAATTTAATAAATCACTTTATTTGTTGTAAAAGTGAATTTGGAATATTCTTAAAGTAAAACAATTTCAAGTTTTCTTTTTCTTTCTCTCTGTTGCCATATTTTTTGCTAATTTTTAAGATATTTTATTTGTTTTCTACTTTTGTGGGAGGTATGGTTTGGTTGGCTGGCTGGCTGTTGATTTAAGTTTGTTTTCATTCCCCGCACATTATAATTCGTTGAGTTGCATTTCTAAGATATTGCAAATTTTATAAATTTTGAAGGCGTTACCTTTTTTGTCATTATTATTGCGAATAAATGTTGTGTGTGTGTGAGTGAGTGAATGCTGCTCAACTGTCTTCTCCACAATACATATGTACATTCAAGCCAACAACAATCTCTCAGTGTCTATTTTTGAGGGAACAGTTTTCCTTCAAAACGAAAAAAAAAGAATCTATAAACTTGTATACCAACACTATTACATTAGAAAACTTATAGAAGTTGGCAGAAAAACGAACGAAAGAAACGAAACGAGCCAAGTAGTGTTGGTGGCACTATCAAAGAGGAACCTTTTTTCAAATGGGTGGAAACACCACCTCCTCATTCTTGTCGTCTGTTGTTTAGCAATGACTTCTTGTTTTACGAACTACAACTACTAACACTACTACTACTACTGCGCATCTATTAGGCAACGAACGAGCACGGAAGCACAAGACGAAGAAGAAAAATGAGCATGATTTTTGTAAAAATCTAGTATATGCTAGGGTTTGTCCGAAAGACCCAACAACCATCCATCCAACCAACCGACATACCGTCCGACCGAACGTCTCAACCCGATTTCTTTCTTTGCCATCCATGCTCCTTTACATTGGCTGCCTTGCTGTAAGTTCGTTGTGTTGCAGTTGAGCTTTCTTCGTCTACTGCCACAGTGAATGACGGACGAGCGCCAAGTACCTACCTACCTACCGACTTTCGAAAAGAGTACTACAGCTGTTGTTAGCAGGGCTTTCATGGGAAACCCTTAATTTTGTTAGGTTTTTGAGTTGTATTTAGTTTAATTTGAGTCGTTTCACCAAATCGCTGATGACGATGAAGTTGGCCTCTTTTGTGACGACAAAAAAGGGCTCTTACACCTGCCTTGTGAGAAGGTTTTGTTTAACTTGTGTAGTTGTTGTTAGTAAAGTATCATCATAACCATTGGTGTTGTTGTTGTTATCGCCGTCGTCAAGCAATTTCTACTCAACCCAAATCACCACCCACTTTTTGGTTTTAACATCGGCCCACCATCAGCCCTCTGCCTGATGATATATGGAGCCGGGTGGTGTGTGCAAGGCAGCAGCAGCAGAGAGAGAGTACCCATCATGCTAAACAAACCAACCCACTGGCTGTAAATTGTTGTTGGAAATTTCTTGCCATTTTTTTCCAATTCACACACACACGCACACACCGAGAGATGACAACAACGACGTTTATACTTCAACGTCTTGGTCTTACTTTTTGCCATGCTTGAAATGTTTGTCCATGTGTGTGTGTCTGTGTCTCAGTGAGAGCTTACCAATAGCTTGCCAAATGTAACGGTGTATATGTGAGCCAAAAAACGACAACTACTACTACGACGACGACGAAGAACACGGCAATGGAGTAGTGCTGTATGAGCCATTTATTTGATTTTGACTGAAATCTTGTGATGCAAATGTGCCAGCACTCACTCACTCGGGCGAATATAACAAATGGGGATTGGTTTTTGCTAAATCACACAGCAGCAACAATAACAACAACACGAGCACTAAAATAGGAAGCCTAGCAAGAATAGAGCAGACGTTGAGTTGCCCTGAGAACTTTAGACGCTGGCGCTTTTCTTTAGCTATTCCAAATGCTGCTTGTTGCTGTTGCTTTATGGTTGGCGAGGATTGGGGAGGCCTAGCACTGGCTTGCACTGAGAAAATACCCAATCTTATGGAGTTATATGGGGGGAATTAACCAACAACAACAACAAAATGGCAAAATGTTGCTTTTGATATTTTTCTGCTCATTGCAGCAGGCAGTCACTTTTATGGATGTGTGTTCGTTCACATCACGAAGTGATTATAAGCCGTCTCATTTCATCTAAAGACAAATAAATTTCAAATAATGGCAACAAAAGTAACAGCAACAACAACAATAACGTGTAATTTACAATTTGCCAGCCAGCCACTCTCACCCACAATAATGAGTAATCTCATTTAACTCTGAAAATGAGAATTCTCTTTTATTTTTCCAATATTATTATTTTCCAATAATAAATCATTTTTCCCAAAGAATTTTTGATTGAATTATTATTGCCTGTTTATAAAACCGGGAAAATTTCCCATATTATTTTTATTAATTCCCCCTAAAATCAACTAAATTCGCCGCAAGTGCCTCTCTTAGTCATGCAAAGAGCATTGTTCCATTACTCTCCCATACTCTTGTGGCTCTCTTTTTTTCCGTGTTCGCAATTTTGATGGCAGCAATAATAATGATTTACTTTTTGACAAACACATGCGCTTTTTATCTGTCGCCTTAGTGTTGTTGTTGCTGCTGTTGTTCGTCTTGCTGCCGTCCATTTGATGCGGTTGAGCCATTAGCCTCGTAAAACGAACAGTCATCTCTTTCTGGCTTAGGAAAATTTATGACACTCATTTAGTAAGAAAAACAGGTAGTTTTCCTTGTCTTGCGCACATTTCATAAAATTTATTTCGAATGAAATTTAATGGCACAATTGTTGCGCTCCTTGGGCACATACACACACACACTCGCACACACATGCTGGCAAAACATTTGCCTACCTCCTAGGCGAGAGTAAATTTTACTACCACCAGAAAAATGAGTTGTTTTTCCCAACACTGCACACACACACACCAACAAACACACACTCTCGCCCCGTTCGCTGAGAACAAGTATCTGTGTGAGGTGTCGTCGAGCAGGCACACAGATACAACACCACCGCTGTATGTGCGTGCGTATGACTTGCTCGTTCGTTCGCCTGTCTGTTGTTCGGAGTGTGCAATTGTGTATGGCTGTGTCGGTGAGTTTGTGTGTGTGTGCTTTGTTGTTGCTCTGCGGTGCTGTTATGTTGTTTACCCCCGCCAAGTTTAGTTTTCGTTGTGATTGACAAGCCCAGTGTGTATTTGCCTTCGAAACGCGTACGACGTGCTGCTGTGCTGTGTGGATAGTTACACCACGATCGAGTAGAGTAGTAGTAACCAGAACAACAGACACATACAATAAATAAAATCTATATTTTTTCGCCAGAGTCTTCGCTCAACAACCAAGAAGACCGACGACGAACCAGCAAGCAACCACAACAAACATCATCAATCCCAATCAAAAAAGATCACAACAAAAATTTTTATTTTTATTATTGAATGTAACAACAACACGACAAGACATATAATCATCATCTTTCTAGTAAAACACAGATGAAAAGAAGTATAGCCCCTTAAAATAATAAAAAAAATAAATTTTGCAAAAGTTTAGAAAAGGGGCCGTGATTTGAAATTTTGAAAAACTCTGGAAAAACAAAATATTGCACAGCATACATTAACAACAAAAAAACGGCGTATTTTTTTGTTTTGGAAAATTACGGCGGTTTACAAAAGACCCAACATAAACGGCGGTAACGCGTCTCCATAAAAAACAAAAATAACAACAAATTGTGAATTTAGTGAAAATAAAACAAAAATAACTCAAAATCAAAAAGCCGTCGCTTTTTGTGGGCAAACGTGAAAAAACGCGCGCGCGATTTATTCTTCGTTCGGTTTAATTTCAAATTTAAGTTTTTCTTTTGGTTTTCCATCATCCAAACAACCAACCATCTTCAGTTTAGAGAAAAACTGTGATACAACAACATAAAAAAATTTTAAGTTTCTTTTTGCAAAATAAATAATTTTTACAACACAGTGGTATACGAAAACAAAAATATATTTTTTGGACTCCCTGCAAAAAACAAAACAAACAAACAAAAACAAATCATAAAACAAAACAAGAAACATGGATTTATGACCCCCCACACAATAATAATAACAACAACAAGTAATAAATTATAATAGTTATAACAACAACAACAAGTATACTAAAAGTCATGCTTAAATAATTGCAACAACAACAACCACAACAAAATTGTATACGATTTTTTCTAAAACAAAAAATATAAAAATTAAAATTATTACAAAAAAGAAAAGTTTTTCTTATAAATGTGCCTAAAAATAAGTCAAAGCAAAGGAAAAGCAAGATAAAATAATCTATAGAAGAAGAAGAAAATCATCACCTTACTCCTTCCTCTCCATACAAAGTGACTAGTGTACAAAACAAAAAAAAAAGCAGAGTATCTTTTTGTTGTTAACCAGTGTTGTATACAGAACATCGCCAACGAAAAAAAATCTACAGTCCAATTGCCGAGATTGGTTGTAGCTTTTTTTTAAGTTTTTACTTTTTTGTTTAATTTTTAACAAAAAGTGGCACAAATCGGGTTGGACACCGCTCCTAGAGCATTAATGGCTCAACCTAGGGTAAGTATTGCAAGAAAATTTCATAATGTTAGGGAAAATTATTGTGTGAAAATGCTTAGGGTTCAGGGTGTTAAAGTAGCGACGGCATTTTGTCATGGGCCAATAAAGTGGCGTAACCAAAAAAAAAGATATGACAATTTTTTTTGAATAGATTATCAACCATAAAATTAGTTTCTAAAAACGAACTCTAAAATAATTTTCCATAGATTATCAATGGAAAAAGTATTTTTGAAAAAAATCAATAGTTACCTTAGTGTTATGGTGGAGACAAATTTGGCCAAGAAAGCGCTAATGTTTACTTCAAAATCTCCTTAAATTAAATAAAAAATAGAAAATATTAAATACGCTGCTGAATTTTCTATCAAATTATTGGTGCCAAGTACCTTTCAATTAATACCAAAATTTGGCCAAAAAAAACTCCAAAATCTTCTGGAATTATTTGGCTATATACCAGTCTTTAATATTTTCACATTAAAAAAATAGAAAATATGTAAAAGTGTTAATTCCTAAAACTCAGCCGAACATCCAATCACACTATTAGTGCCAGAAACCTTTCAAACATTTTCAAAGTTTGGCCAAGAAAATGGCAAAGTTTCGGCAATATCTTCTTAAATTATAAGGCTATATGTTTACCATTCATGTTTCTTACATTAAAAACCCAGAAAATATATCAAGTGTCAAATTTCAAAACTGTGACGAAACCCAGAAACTCTTCAAACATTTTCTAACAAAGAAAATACTTAAAAGTGAGCAGCTTCCCCGAAGTCATTCAAAAAGTTGTTCCTCATTTCAACAATAGGAAAAATTGGCGTTTAAATATAGTAATATTTCCAAATAGTAAAAGAGATTCCATGGGAACTTGTTTTGAAACCCCTATCTCTTATAACCCATTTAAGAAAATGTTTTCCCCAAATACAATTATGAGTGAAACATCGTTTTTATCCAGAAAACCCCATTGGAAATTTCTCTGCTAAGTCCTAGGAATTTTCCTCGGATTTAATTTTTAAGTCAAGTCTCCATTAGCCGTTCCTCTGATCAATTTTCCCTGAAAATTCATGATCAAGGCATTTGGACTACAACTCATGTGAATATTCCTTACGCTGGTTTGATTTCCAAGGGAACCAGCTTTAAGCGTCTATCTTTTAAAATCCATTTAAGAAAATATTTTCCCCAAATACAGCTATGAGTGCAAAGTCTGTTTTTAATCAGAAAACCCCATTGGAAACTTCCCTGCTATGAAATTTTCCTCCGATTTAATTTGCATCCCTTTTAGTCGATATTGAAATTGTTGTTTACCAATTCACAGATTTTGATGACAGACATTAGTCTTCCAATTTATATTTCAAATGAATAGATTCGCCCCATTTCATAAATTGTTGGCAATGTTCAAGTGATTATCTCCAACCTTCAAATTAACAATATTCACATAATTTTAGCTAAAACCCTGAATCTCCACCTTTTTACTTGAAAGACATGTATTTTTGTTTACAAGGTCTTTGTAATTGTTTTTTTTTATAATTTATTTACTTAGCAGAGTATAAAAGCACGGCTCCCTCCAATCACTAAAAATCTACTAAAACCCGTTCTCAAAATATTTTTTGTTTATAAGGTCTTTGGAAAAGTTTATTTCTGCAAATTATTCACTTAACAGGGTCTAAAAGTTCGGCACCCTTCTAATATAAATTTTTTAATAAATTTTCCTAAAGAAATATCTCCTATAAATCCCCTATATCAATCTTCTGGCGATCTTTTGATTTAAGTCACATTTTCCCAATACAACATCTAAAAATATTTTTTGCGAGGTATTTATTTCGCTAGATCTGAGGCCACTGCTACCTTCCATTCCTTATTTTTTTATCTGTATTTTCCAGAAGATAAAATCCTTTATATCAATCTTCTGGCGATCTTTCGATTTAAATCAAAATTTCCCAAAAAAAATTTACCAAAACCCTCTGCATACTTTTAGGCAACTGATGTCAACATTAGCGTCGGTAAAAACATAAACATATTTTTTATTTTTATATTTTTTGGAAATTAGTTTGTAAATATCTTGGCTAAATGTTATTAAACATTTTCATCCGTCTTGATGTTTTTTCATTAAGTTTTATAGCCAATGTTTTTTTTGTTGTTAAATTTCAAGCTCATTAGCTCGTGTTGATTTTCATTGTTTATAAAATTTATTAAATATTGCCATTATTATTATTGGTGTTATTATTATTGTTATGGTGTTGTGTTGTGTTGAATTTTTTCTTGTGTGTCTTGAACGGAAATTATATTTAATTAAATTAACATGGATCATGCCATGATATTTGGCTCAAAAAACAATAGGACCCCCTCCTTGTAAGATCTCTCCCTGTGAGATGATGATCGCTCAAAACAGATAGACAAAAAAAAATGCGTGAGCGTTTGCGTAAATTTTTTCAAAACGAAAAAATACAAAGGCCAAACTTAAAATATATAGAAACAAAGCAAACCAAGAAGAAGAAGTAGTAGTAGTAGAAAAAAAAAACAGAATTTTGTTTTAAAGAAAATAAATTGCGTGCTGATGGTTCATTTAATTTAATGAGCAACAACGGCGGCGTGCAGCAGCAAAAGCGCACAGCATATACTCTACACAACATTCATTTAAGTGAACGCTTTTGTATGTACGTCACTTGTAGTTTGTGTTGCTTTTTTTTTTTTTGCTTTTCGAAACAGTTCAAGTAACTTATCTTAACAAAAAGAAGAAAATGATTTTCTTGGTCTCTTTTGAAGAAAAAAAAACGCTCGTTTTGGAGGGAAATGGCATTGTGTTGTGTTTGGCTTAAATTAAAAGAAATTTAAGGAAAAAATTGAAAATGATTAAATTAAATATCATCAAAAATTGTATTTGCCACACATTACAATAAACAAAGACATTTTTGTTGCAAAAATCCAACAAAAGAAGAAGAAGATACCAGACTTTCTTTGCACTTGATCACCAGTCATTTTGACTGCATGGCATTGTGTGTGCCTGATATTCTTTAACACGGAAGTGTTCATTAACCCCCTCCTCTGTTTTATAACTTATTTTTGGTAATTTGTTTGGACTTTCTAAATTATGGGTTATGCCCCGAGCCAGAGTTGTTAAGTTGAGGACATAAACACTTTAAGGTTCTCCAAAAAACGAAAAAACTTCTTTTTTTTGTCAAATTATTTGCCTTTTTCGTTTTCCAAAGAACCACAAATGAAGTTAAGTTGTTCAAGCTGTCTTTTGTAATTATTTTAAACTTAAACACACATTGTTCTTTATTTGACCAAAAAAAAGGAGCAATTGTTGGCACCCGTCGATAGCACGCAATTGCCTCATCATCGAAAGGCCTGGATAATTTGTTGTCCCTCCATAATAAATATTAACTTTGGTATGCAAATATTGCAAATTGAGACTGAAATTGTTCTGAGGAATTATTTCATTTTCAAAAGTGAAAATGGTAATTTGTGGTGAACCTCAAAGGTCCTTAAAATTCAAAGAGAGACAATGTGCCAATGGGAGATATTTTCAAAAACCAAATAAGCTAAAGGATAAAAGTGAGCAAAATGAAAAATTAAATAATCAAAATATATGTGTCAGCGTATGTAGGTTGAAGGCCCCGTGATAGCTTAACTTCCAAAGTGTTTTTTTTTTTCAATATTTTCAAAATTCTGCTGCTATTTGCTTTTGTCATAAACGCATTTCTTTTTTCTGTTTATTTAGTTTTAACATTATGGCTTAAACTAGTTTAAATTGAATCCAGTTAAACTGTTGCTAATGTTTCAAATAAACATTTTTCCAAGTTAGCATTAAACACACATGTTTAAATGGACATTTTCATATTCAATTTTATTGGTTATTGAATTGTTTGAAATTGTATTTGCCGGACATGTTAGCACAACGGTGAAAAGGTGTTAATTTTTGTTTTTGTGAAGAAGAGAAAACAACAACTAAAATAACAGTGGCCATGAACAGTGAAGGAAATTTGAATAGGAGCAGTGTGAAAAAAGGGCAGAGAAATGTGACAAATTTTCAAGTTGTGAATTTTAAAAATAAAACTTAAATAAGAAATTTTCCTATTTCTAAAAAAATACAATATTAAAATTAGGTGTAAACTTTTAGGCAAATTGACTCCTTTCTTCTTTTTATTAAAAAAAGTTGTAAAATATCCCACTTCAAAATAGTTATAATTATTGTATTTATATTTCCTTTATTTTCTATATCATCAGAAAAACATACTTTTCATTTTAAATAAAAAATTAAAATTTACTAGATAATTTCTAAAATTTTCATTTTTACACCTCTGGTAGCCTCATTTGTTCTCTTAATTTTAGTATCAATATTTTCCAAATCCATCAAGTTTTATGAAAGTTATAATCATTTTAGTGCAGCGATTCACTTCATTTGAATCTGGCCAATTTTCTTTTGCAAAAAGTGATGCATAGTTTTAGGCAACTTTTATTTATTTTTTTAACTTTTTAAAATGTTGTGGATTTTTATTAAATTTGAATATTTGCGAATATTTTAAATATTATGAGAAAAAAACCATTAACTTAAATTGAAAATTATAGAATTAAAAAAAAAACATTTATAAATATTAAATAAAATATTAATTTTTTTTAAAAAATTACTAAAATTCTTTTTTACACAGTTGATACCTTTAAATGTGCCCTAGATTTTGATATAAATATTTTAGAAATCCAGATAGAATTCTTGGAGTTATGGCCATTTATATAAAATCGCCCACAACATTTTGATCCTTTTTTTGTTTTCCCTCTGCCAATAACTGAAGCATATTTTTAGGCTAACCTCAAACAAATATATTTTTAATTTAATGGATTTAGAAGATTTTTATCAATTTCGGAAAAAATTTGTATATTTCAATTAAAAAAATCTATGAGAAAAAAATTAAATTTATTTTTTAAAGTTTTTGAACCTGAATTCCAACTGCCGAATTTAAAAATTAAAATTGTATTTAAAAATTGCAAATTGAATTTTCACTATTCTATAC